GTGCAGAGGCACCTCCTGGCTGCTCCTCTCCCGGTGCCTGGGCAGCCCAGACCTGCCCTCAGGTCCCTTCATCCCGTGCCAAAGCCCAGAGTGGAAATGTGTGCACGGCCCCCAGTGTTTTCCTAAGTCTTTGCAGGATGCCAGAAGCCCTGAAATCAAAGGATTTAATGTGTGCTCCCAAAGCTGGGAGCAGGGAATGCCATTCCTGCTTTTCCAAACAGTACATTCAGTCCCTCTGGGTTATCCCAGCTCAGCCCAGACCCACCTGTGACTCCCTCCCTGGGCTGTCCAGCAATTTGAAGACCACAGTGACTGAGTCCCACCTTAACATATTTCTTAAATAAATGCACCAGAGGTATTTTATTGAACGTGTTCCCCCCCAAAACATCCTTAGCAAAATATTTGTCATCCGCCCTCTTCCTCTGCGTGCACCCACACTCTAAATATATCGAATTTCTGCAGCTTTTAGAGGTTCACAAATAGATCTGGGTACCTGAGAGCAGCCCAGGGCTTTGGCCAGACAGTGGGCAGACGAGGTCTGGCTGAACAGCCCGGGCTGTGCTGCTATTTCTGTCCTTCCTTTCCCTTCTGGGTGGATGTGGAGCATGAAAAACCCTCAGTTCAAAGCCCAGCGTGGCTCCAGGGCTCTGGTTCTGCCGGGTTAGGAGTGGGTTGAACCATCCCTGGGAGTGCCCAAGGCCAAGCTGGAGCATCCTGGGCTGGTGGAAGGTGTCCCTGCCCATGGCAAGGGGTGGAACTGGATGAGATTTAAGGTAAATCCTCTTCTTATCCAGCTTTTTGACGTGGAAATCAGCGGGAACTCTCTCCATAACCTGGGATGGTCCCCACCACCTCAGCCCTGGGCTCTGCTGTCCTCCAGCTCCCGGAAATGTTTGACTCTAAAAGCTTTGTTTGTCTGTTTGTTATGACAACAGTGTTTAAAACATTGTTTCTTTCAGCCAGACGGGGATTTCTTTCCCCTCGGTGTAAATGTTTACTTCTCTAAACATAAACCCGAGTGCAACGTGACTTCAGCTGCCAGGAAGGGTCTTTAGCACCTCTTTACTCCAGACAGATGTTAATTAAGGTGGTTTTGGGGACAATCCTTAGCACCTCTTTGCTCCAGACAAATGTTAATTAAGCTGGTTTTGGGGACAATCCTTAGCACCTCTTTATTCCAGACAAATGTTAATTAAGGTGGTTTTGGGGATATCAGCATGTTTTAGTGTTGTAATTTCCAAACAAATGTGATAATTTGTACCTCAGGGGTTGCTTTGTGGTGCTTTTTGCACCTCAGGGGGCTGTGAATGAAGACTCAGAGGAGGGTTTGGCTTGGAAGGGACCCTGAAGACCATTTCTCTGTTATATTTGACTTATCCCGAGGCCAGGGTGTGATGGTTGAGTTGACGAGGTGGTGGTTGGGCAAAGGTTGGATTTGATGCTGCTGGAGGTCTTTCCCAACCTGATTGATTCCCTGTTTCTGACCTTCTTGGAGGTCTTTTCCAACCCAGTTGATTCTGTGATTCTTCTGTCCTGCCCTGTGGGGGTCAGGTGATAAATCTGCCCAGTTTGC